TAAACTGTAAAGTTATAAACACTAAATCTGGCTTTGCTTGGAAGGGAAGCACATTAACTTGTTAGTTACATACCTAAAGGATAAATCATTAGGTGAATATACTAACAATTTAGCGAAAGAATAAGGTAAATGACTTGAGATAAGCCTTATCTTATTAGATTGATCCCATTTCTTCATCTTGGCAAGCCCTCTGCTACCCAACATACTAGATACTACATAAATAAACCATACCTGAAAAAACTGCAGGAAACACTTTGTGCAAGTGCCAACATATAGCTGCATATTTTTTCAGGATGCCACACTTTGTATATAGTTTCTAAGATCATTTTAAATATCTGTCATTCTGTTTATTAGTCAATCTAAAGAATATATGTGTGTGTGTGTGTATATATATATGTATATATATATATATATATACACACATACACATATATATATGGCAGAAATATGATATTTTCAGAATGAATTTTTAAAAATTATATCCTTTTGAGTTGGTGCAGCTTTTCCCTTTCAGTAAATCACTAACTTATCAATGATCATGCAATTAGTTAATTTAGAAGGAATCTGTATTTAAGAATTGGCAGAATGTGTGTTTAAAAGGAAGGTAACAGAAGCAATGTGGTCTTGCTGGCAAGAGCTCAATTAATATTTGTTCAGTACTTTGAAACTTTACAGCACTAAGTCCTAACTAAAGGATTGATTCATCCTCACTGGCAAAGGTCTCACAAACTGCACCCTTCTGCACCAGCAAGGGACACTGTTCCCCGGGAAGAGAGGCACTGCTTGTACCTCCTCCCTCCCCCAGGAACTGGTCTAGGGAAAGATATCTTTAAACTGAAGATGCAGCTCCACAGGAGCCAGGCCACTGCAGAATGTCAAGGGCATATAATGAGTGCCCTGGCTCTACCTCCTCACTACCAACACCACCCACTTTTCAGTCTACTAATCAGGCTTCAATACATGCAGAACCATTTTGTGTCTTATGAAATGTGGCATGAAAATTACATCTGCATATAGCAGAGGCATAAATATAAGCAGGCTTTGTGGCATGATTGCTGAAAGTTCCATAGATTTATCCTAGATAAAGCAGTATGGTAAAGAGACAGTGCTATATTTTTCCATATCCTTTTTATGTTTTAATTTATTTATTGCTGCAGCTTCCCAGGAGGATTCAGATCAAAACATTCAAATTCACCAATGGGCACCATCCTGTTTTTATTTTCGGATATGCCTCTCTCATACAAGCGGTCAATTGATGCTTTTATTTTTATCACTAGTGCTGGATTTTGAAGTGGGGGTTTCTTAAAGGTACAGCATAGGAGGAAAACATTAGCAGATGAATACAGTTAACATCAGAACTTCCCCACTTGTCCGGATGTAGTTTAACTTAATCTAATCTGACATAAAGTGACATGCTGGCAAACTGATGTGTTTCGCTATCCAAAGCAGACACGTTATTTTGACCAGAAACAACTCATACATTTCTTGTGAACCCAGGAATGTTAATGTTAACAGCTTTTAAAAGTCCAGCCTTCTACTCCTTTGAGAGAAATATTATCCCTCATTAGCTCAACAGGATTTATTTTAATGTCTGCCCTTGCATCTGCACAAAGTGAGAGAAGGGAGGAATCTAACCAGGGAATAGACTCTTTAAACTTTACAAAGAAATAAAAGCCCTGTTTCAGGTGGATCTTCTCTATTTTGTGCATGGGTGAAAGTAACTTTCTCCTTGTAACAAAGCCAACACCCCCCCCCACCCCGCTAGCAATAACACATACTTGCTGAACTGATTTCCCTAGCAATGATTTTAGTACAAAGAGCTGATGTGATTTTCACATAAATTAACAAAGCTAAGAATTGTTCCCCCTGCCTCTTGTAAGTGACTATTAAAATATATTTTGGATAGGAAAGAGAAAAAGAAAAGCAAAATACAGAACAAATAAAAGAATAACTGGAAAATATATTAAGAATATGATTCTTATCTCAATGTACTTGGGATTTACGTGTGTGAGCCAGCCACTTGTATTAATGGGTCATAAGAACTTAAAAACGGCAATACTGGGTTAGACCAAAGGTCCATCCAGACCAGTATCCTGTCTACTGACAGTGGCCAATGCCAGGTGCCCCAGAGGGAGTGAACCTAATAGGTAATGATCAAGCAATCTCTCTCCTGCCATCCATCTCCACCCTCTGACAAACAGAGGCTAGGGACACCATTCCTTACCCATCCTGGCTAATAGCCATTAATGGACTTAACCTCCATGAATTTATCTAGTTCTCTTTTAAACCCTGTTATAGTCCTAGCCTTCACAACCTCCTCGGGAAAGGAGTTCCACAGGTTGACTGTGCGCTGGGTGAAGAAGAACCTGCTGCCCATTAATTTCATTTGGTGGCCCCTAGTTCTTATATTATGGGAACAAGTAAATAACTTTTTCTTATTCACTTTCTCCACACCACTCGTGATTTTATATACCTCTATCATATCCCCCCTTAGTCTCAAACTTGTGCCTCAAATTGAAAATATTGTGAATAAAAGAGCAATATACCAAATTTCTTGTAGGATAGGAAATGCTAAAATATTTTTCTGTACCACCCCAAATACATCTGTATCTCATTTTCTTCTATTCCTCTATCCACTGCCTAAGCACCACCCATGCAGCTCTTTTTAATACCATATTTGTGGCTTTCTCCCACTCTCAGATTTGTACATACTTTAATAGCCAACAAATACAACTACTGCTCTTTCTTCAGCTCTCTCCTAAAGTTATTACTTCCACAAAGCCCATCAATATCAATTCATCAGATCAAGATGTGTGATTACAAAAAGATACATGTACTGCTTAGAGATTAGACTATCTACTGGCTCACTTATCTTCTGGTACATTATGCATCTGAACATTATTGTCTGTGTAATTTAGAATATAAGATCCTTAAGTCACATAACATATTTATAAGAACAGTTAAGTTTCTAAAGCTCAAGAGTCAACTTTTCTGGCAATACTGTCAAGTTACTTTGCATATTTACTAGGATGTTTTACTCATGCATATTATTTTTATTCTAAAACTTTCATTAAGAGGTGGCTAATTAAACTTGGTACTTTAAAGAGTTTAGGATAATGAGAAATGTAAATAGACAATAAAAAAAACATGCCCCAAATCATGTAATATATTATATGAATTTTTCAGCTTTTTGAGGTCTTATATCTTTAGGAATCTCACTGGAGTCCTCTTTAAGTGAAATTCTATTATGAAAAAGCACAACTGCACTATTTACAAAGAAATTTAAAGCAAAAATTAAGATCTAAACTACATTAACTGCAAACTTTTAGCTGTTTTCACGTGTGGATTTGAAATAAGTGAAAAGAAGAGTAGTCTTTGTAAATATTCAAATTAAAGAGAGTGCTTTAATGCTTTAAGTAAAAATACTATGCAGCACACTACAAAGCAGATTAGAGAAGCTTTTCTACCATGATAAGAATTTATTGGTGTATAATATAGGGCCATATCCTAGTACACAGGTAGTTAATGGGATGTTTGCAATTTTCTCCCAACATATTAAAAAAGAAGCAAAAGGAAGTTCTATGGCCTGTGTTATACAGAAGGTGAGACTTGATCCTAGTGGTCCCTTCTAATCTCGGAATCTATAAACCTATGAAAAAGAAGTGCTTTAGGCTGCTTAAGAATCTGCTTTAAAAATACTTTTCTTTTTTTTCTCCCTCTAGGTTATGCGAATTCATACAATTGCCTAAGCTGGCCTCTAGATGGTACAAAAGAATCTACATCTAGGAATCTCTTTTCTGATATACATGTGAAGATTTATATTCCCTGTACCATATGGCTACTTAGATCATCCTCCTAAAGTCAGCAATCCCAACATTACAAAATGTAGTTGTGGAATAAATAAAATGTCGAAAAATATAAGTGCCAGAAACTGAAAGTAATGTGCCAATGTACTTAATGTACCAACTGTTGTATGAAAACAGTTACATATACAGTTGTGAGACTCTATTTTTCAATTGTTTTAACGAATTGGTTTGAGACAAAAAATGATTAATTCTGCCTCATCAAGTGTTCTTTCATTTTCAATTTAAAATAGCTGAAAGTAACATGAAACTTACTATAGACAACATGAAAATTAAAGAGTTAGATTTAATTGAATTCAATTAAATATAATGGCCATAAGCATTATTTATCATAAAGGCAATCTGAGGTCACAACCCAGTGGAACACGTACTAACCAATAAAATACTTCCATGACTTCATATCCTTTCGATTTTAAAAAAAAGATTTCCTCTTGTATGTTTTACATCCAATAGCTGTTTATTACAGAGGTGCTGTGTGGAAACTTCAGACACCAGCATGTTACATTTTGATCCAAGCGTCCAGGCTGCGTGTATGAGCACAGAACTGCTGTGTGGTGTATAAGCACAGGATATACCTCTATATTATTGAAGGTAAGGAAGGGTTCATGCAATTTGCCTAATATTATGCAAAGTAGGCATGATCCTCAACCTCCTGGCAAGTTGTCAAAGTAGCCCTCAGTTCAAAGTAAGTGCACTGACAATGACAATAATGTACATACACTCTCTACCAATCAAGAGGTAGTAATGTTGTATTTGATATCTTCTTGTCTCCACTGCCACAAACGTGTGTGTATGTTCCGGGTGATGTACTGCCAATTCCCTTAGTCCGTGGATCATTCTATCTTCTGGGTTTCTCTTATCTTTTTAGCCTGAGAACCCCTCTCTTTCCCACTGTGGATTACTCCTGCCTAAAAAGGCACATTGTTGTCATCTCTAACACAGAGAAGCCTCTAAGGCCAATCAAGTTTACTTCATGCTTTGACTCTCAAAGACTGAACATGGATTTTCCTGGCATTACACTATTTTCCTAAAACTATGTTAAATTATTTGTAATGTGGAAGAGCAATTGCAACAACATCTGTCATCAGAAAAGTGCAGCACTTGTCTATAATTAAATAATGTAGATAGGTCTCTTACCTTGCATAGTAGTCCTTTGGGGGAACAACTTCCTGAAAGAATTGTAACTGGTACAGATAAAGTCCGATCAAGTGCCCCGCACTGTATATAGCCATTAATACACACAGACAGCTGAATATCAGCGGATCAAATGCTAGGCAACAGGACCACCATGTACACAGCCCCAAAAATACAAAGAAATACACAGCTGACGTCAAAGATGGCAACATCATGCCTGCAAAAACAAATATTGAGGATACTTTGAGAATATTAGCGTTAAAAACATTTATTAATCCTAAAACATTATGTAGTTTATCAAAACAATTTCAAAATAACATTGCTGTTTTGATAGTTTTTACTTATTATAGGTAACATCTCAGACTGCTATTAACTGAAAAATGCCATAAAACATATATAGATGTATATATTTCATTTTGCTTACTCTATGAAAAACAACACTTGGTAGCTAGGTTTAGAAGGATTAGATTTAAATTAGTAAATGTTAACTTCATACCGATGAAAAAAATGTTTCCATCAGTATTAATAGAAATTTACAGATAGGCAGAGTAAGAAAAACGCTGCTTGATAACTTTTTAGAGTTTGATGTATTTTGACATGTGATGTTGACAATTTGTGTTTAATGGTTATAAAGCTTTAACTTTTTGAATCTCAACATCTACTGTAATTAAAGAATTATGAAATCAAATTCTGCCATGCCTATTGTGACAAAGTTCCTCCTCTATCTTGGTGGGTCCTGCGCTTATCGGCGGATTTTCTTTCCTCAGAGATTCACCATGTGGGTTGGGGAACAGCCCAGAGACCTTCCCCTCTGGAAGAACCCACAGTCCAGGTCAATTGGGAGGTTTGGGGGGAACCCGGGCCCACCCTCTACTCCGGGTTCCAGCCCAGGGCCCTGTGGACTGCAGCTGTCTATAGTGCCTCCTGTAAAAGCTGCATGACAGCTACAACTCCCAGGGCTACTTCCCCATGGCCTCCTCCAAACACCTTCCTTATTCTCACCACAGGACCTTCCTCCTGGTGTCTGATAACGCTTGTGCTCCTCAGTCCTCCAGCAGCACGCCCTCTCACTCTCAGCTCCTTGCGCCTCTTGCTCCCAGCTCCTCACACTCACACCACAAACTGAAGTGAGCTCCTTTTTGAAACCCAGGTGCCCTGATTAGCCTGCTTTAATTGATTCTAGCAGCTTCTTCTTAATTGGCTCCAGGTGTCCTAATTAGCCTGCCTGCCTTAACTGGTTCTAGCAGGTTCCTGATTACTCTAGTGCAGCCCCTGCTCTGGTCATTCAGGGAACAGAAAACTACTCATCCAGTGACCAGTATATTTGCCCTCTACCAGACTCCTGTACCCCAGTGGTCTGGGTCTGTCACACTATATATAGTCAATTTCGATATTTCCTCTGAGTACTTCGTGTTCCTAGTTTGTACAGCTCTTTCCCACAGTAAAAGAGGAGAGAAAAACAAGAATTTGTGTTCATAAACCCCCAAACCAGCAGAGAGACGCAGAGGTAGGTGCTGTACCTGAAAGTACTTTTAACTTTTAAAAAAAAATTAGATTTCAAGTTGATTACATTTCTGTAAAATAATCGGTAGGATAATAAAATACTATGAGTAATGAATATGGTGTGAAAGTTTCCCTTGTAATCATTGAATTTATATCACTAGAAATTTGTGTCCCAGTCAGTGAGATACTGTGTACTGTGGAAATAAAAGAGCATCTACAATATATCCGGTACATGTGGTCTATGTAAGTGCCAAATATGGATGAAAAGTAATCCAATTTATACCTCATAAATATTTGTAATACTTAGTGTATACCCAGGGCTCTCTTGTATCCCATGTAGATTTTCTTTTACACACTTAAACAACATTTCATTTGTGAAGTTGCTATTTTCACTCTCATGAAATGTCTACTGTACCCCGGAGGGGGATTTGAGGAGGTGGGGATGGGGAGATGCTCATATCTAAGACACAGGAAACTGGAGGAAACGACCCAAGGAAGAATCTTTCATCCTACATAATGGGCCAAAGACATCGCCAAAGCAATCCACTGAAGTCAATGGAATCATACTAGGGATGAATCTGGCCCATTTTGCTTCAAAAATCTTGACAATTGCATACTTGAATGGAAGGTGGATAGATCCCAAGAGATCTGGGGCTCATTCATCTGAGTCTGGGTAGTCATCCCACAGCAAAGTGGCCTGCTGTCCCTCAGAAGGACCCATGCCTTGGTGCAGTGGGTCTCAAACTTTTGTACTGGTGACCCCTTTTACGTAGAAAGCCTCTGAGTGTGACCCCTCCTTATAAATTAAAAATACCTTTTATATATTTAACACCATTATAAAAGCTGAAGGCAAAGCGGGGTTTGGGGTGGAGGCTGACAGCTCGCGACCCCCCCCGTAAGAACCTTGTGACCCCCTGAGGGATCCCAACCAGTAGCGTAGCTGGGGGGGAGTGGGGCAGCGGCCGCTCCCGCACCGAGCACAAGTGGCACCTTTTTAATTTTACTCACCCGGGAGCGGGGAAAAAAAAGGCGCCACCCACTGCGGCGCTTTTACTGATGGGGCGGCGCTCCAGGTGTCTTCACTGAAGCTTCATCTGAAGCCAAAATGCTGCCGAAGACCCGCGGAGCGAGTGAAGGTCCCGCTGCCGAGGTGCCGCCGAAGACCCGGAGCGCTGCCCCGTCAGTAAAAGCGCCGCAGTGAGTGGCGCCTTTTTTTTTCTTTTTGCTCCCCCTCTTCCCTCCACCTGGCTACGCTCCTGATCCCAACCCCCAGTTTGAGAACCCCTGCCTTGGTGGATGCAGCTTTAAACTGTGTTTGGAACCCTACCATCAGACAGAAGCCACCTGATGGATGGGATGAATCAATGCATTCTCCTGCCAGCGTGCTCTCCTGGCCAGCTCCACCCACTCTTGAGTGACGATGTCTCCCTTTCAGCTCCCAAGCTGAGTCGGGTTGTGAACTCTTTACACTGATGAAAATCCCCACTTCCTGTTGTGTTTCAGCAGACAGGGGTCTTTCATCCTGGGTTATGTTAGCACAAGCTAACATAAACCTGGGGTGCCTGCAGCCCTTCACTGCTAAGGTGTAGGATACACAGTATTGTCCATACTAAAGTTAGCTTTATATACCTGTGCTAAAAGAACCTTCCACTAACAGTAAATTAGTCTGTGTTGTATTAGCATCATCACAGGCTTGTACGTGGTACTTTAGGCCAAGCTATTGTCTCTCCTCCAGTATATAATCTGCAAGTGGGTATATACCATTTTAATGATTCATATATTTAAAGGTCAGAAGGTTCCCTTATGATCATCTAGTCTGATCTCGTGCATAACACAGGCCATAGAAACTCATCCACTAAATCTGCATCAAGCCTATAACACTGTTCTTTCTTTTAAATAGATATTTAGTCTTGATTTAAAGTCTTCAGTGATGGAGAATCTACCACATTCATAGGTAAGTTATTCCAATTGCTCATTACCCTTGCTGTTAAAAAACTGCACCTTTTTCTAGCCTGAAGTTGTCTAGTTTTAGTTTGCAACCATTGGATCTCATTATGCCTTTTTCTGCTAGATTAAAAAAAATCTACTATCAGAAAAAAAACTTTTCCCTTGGCAGGTACTTTCAGACTGTGATCAATCACCTTTTAACCTCCCTCCCCCCAACTAAACAGATTGAGCTTCTTAAATCTCACACTATAAGACATCTTTTCCAGACCTCAAATCATTCTTATAGCTCTTTTCGGAGTTCTCTTCAATTTTTCAACACCCTTTTTGAAGTGCAGACACCAGAACTGGACAGTGCTACACTAAAGTTCTCACTAATTCCAAACACCGAAGGAATATCACCTCTGAACGCCTCTTTTATATTCTTTGCTTATATATCCATAGAATGCATTTGCCCTCTTAGCTAAAGCATCGCATTGGAAACTCATGTTCATTTGGTTATCTACCATGAACCTTAAGTCCTTTTCCGTGTCATTGCATTCCAAGATATAGTCTCACATCTTTTAGGTGTGACCTACATTCTATGCTCCTAGATTTGGCTCCATTAAAATGCATTATATCCAAATAAGCCCACTTTGCCAAGTGATCCAGATTGGTCTGCATAACTCACCTGTCCCCATCACTATTTACCACTTCACCGTTCTTTGTGAATCTTCTGCAAATTTCACCGGAAATGTTATACGTTATTCTGTTTTATTCTTTGATAAAGACATTGAATAGCATTGGGAGTACAGACTCCTGCAGCACCCCACTAGAAACATCCCCCTAGGATGATGTTTCCTCATTTACAATTACTTTTCATGATCCATCAGCTAACCAGTTTTTAATCCATTTAATATGGATTACATTAATTTTATATAGTTATTTTTATTAATCAGAATGTCATACAGGAGTATGTTGAATGCCTTGCAGAAGTCTAAGTATATTATGTCATCACAGTTACCTTTATCAACTGATTTAGTAATTTCATTAAAAAAAAATCAAATTTGAAATTTTTTTTATTATGGAATGTATAACAAACCAGTAAATAAAGAGTAGTAATGTTTTGTTTGTTTAATATTGTGTGACATGGGTGCGTGTGTGTGTGATATGTGCGACGTGTGTGAATGTGAGTGTGAGTGAGTGTTGTTAGAAGGAGCCAGCACTGAGTCTATTAATGCACATTTCACTTCTTTCCCAGTTTGGCCATAATAATAGCTTTAAAATGAATATATACAATGAGTGGGCTACTTAGTACTAGCACCAAAATAAATAAATAAATAAATGAAATTAAGCAACTCACTGTATTTCCATGCCTGCCAAAAAGCTAATTTAAATAAAAATCAGCAGCAATTAATTTTCCTTCCAAATTTCCATTGTTATTCCCCAGTGTACCAAAGTGCTGGAAATTCATTTGTACAATGCATAATCTTAGGGACTCTTGGCGAATTTATCAAAAGCACCAACCTGTTGAACCAAGTAAAATTGTAACAACAACTTTTCCAGCGGTGGTTATAATGTTTCCAATAAACTCTTTCAATTTGGAAGCCAGTGAGGCAATTCTGCGCAGTAGTTTTAATTTTGTGGTTTCTTCAAATTCCTCTTCGCTATTTTCTCCACCATCCAAATCTTCACATATCAATGCATCATCTGGCTCTAACTTTTCTCTTCCAGCCTTAGAAAGAGAGAGAAAACAATGTGATATGAAACGAGAGACCTGTGTCATATAGGTTATTAGTCAAGTCATTTTTATAGTGACTGACTCTATAATCACAAAATAATCCGAATAAAGAGTTGTGAAAGATATATTAGAAGTCCATTTGGATATCTAAGGCTACCACCTTAGACTTGTCTTAAGAAGAAAGAGGTGAAAAATATTTGAGAGTAAGATTTTCCCTGTCAAATGTAATCCAGCTGGTTCCTCTGGCAGGTAGAAAGTAATTCCAGTTCTACATGTTTCTATTCAAAATTATGACCACTCAACATTCTGCCAGGTTTGTTGATTAGATTTTGTTAAGTCCCTTTGAGGCACAGATCATTAGTAGTATTTCCAGGCCCTGACCAAAGGTGGCTCCCTACCAGATGATGTTCCTCAGGGTAACCTCCTTCTTGGGATCATTACCATTCCCTATTGCAGGTTCTTTTCTCCCCCTTTCTTATGAACCCAGAGTTTATCCATTGGATGGACGGGTGTGTTAGTAGCCTTTTCCTTGATCTTTCCATGCATTAGTTAGCAAGAGGCACTGACACAATGAACAGCCATGACAACTACCAGTAGCATGCCTGGACTTAGAAATCAAAAAATCTAGGCCTTCTTCCAAACCTAGATTTGCTTCATTACACTATCAAGGCTAGTTTTCATAGCAGAGAAAGATAATTCTATATATGTAATTCTAGTATAAATGTTACTCTCTAAAAGAGATTAATACCAGTGTGCTATTAGTATAAATGCAAAGAGAGATCACGGATAGAAACATTACAGTAAACAGGCTTTCTTGTTTCTTCAATATATCCACTGGTTGCACTATGTTACTCAAACCTGACTGAATCAAATTCACCAAAAGAGCATCCCAGTTGGTCCCCACATCCCCATTCTACTTTGTTTCTGTAATGTTATACTATCAATTTATCCAAAGAGGAAGCCCAGCATGTGGGACTGGTATTCATGTAACAGTTCCACCGACAGAAAAGAGAAAGAGATGGAGAGAATCCCAGCAACAGGGAAAGAGAGAAGAAAGCAAAGTGTGCATGTGTTTGGGATAGGGGAACAGAATGAAAGAGCTATGAGGATAGCTCAGGATGGATGGATGAAAAGACTGGAAGGAAAAGAGATGTATCATGGAAGCTCAAAGAAAGAGAGATGGAAGCCTGGAAGGATGAGAGAGAGGAAGAGAATGTGAGAAAGAAAGAAGGTGAAGAAACAAATAATACAAGGAAGAGAAAGACAAATTTGAAAAAAGTTAAGTAGCAATTAAATATGGAAAATGGGAGGAAAAGGGGAATTAAATAATGAAAAAAGAGAAAGAAGAAGAAGAAAACCAGAAAAGACACACACAATGGGTAATTTGTTAGGATTTGGTGGTGACCCTGGTCCAGGGAAAGATATTAAACTTTCTGAAGAACAAAAAGATACGCATCATTGAGTGATGGGGTCTTAATGGCCCTAGCCTGACACAGGATTGGGGGCATCTGCATTACCAGGAGGCCCAGCATGAATACAATTGAAGGAAAATATATTAATCCAGACACAACATAAAGGACATTTTTTAAAAAAATCTAACAATAAATGGGCCAGATCTTCACCTTGTGTAACTTGGCATAGCTCCGTTTGTTTCACTGGAGTGACTCAAAATTAAATCAGCTGAGCATCTGACCCAATTAATTTCTTTTTAATAGCTAGGGGCACGTGTGAGTATTATATCTGTAATGACTTTTCAAGAGAACAACATATTTATTGCGGCCACTGGAAATGATAAATTCGAGAGCATTGACTGGGTGGCTTCCAGTGGAAATTGCAGAACTGTTATCCTTCTGAGTATTTAACTGTACAGAATACTTCATTACAATTTTGTTAGGTGGATTCCCCCAGGAAAAGAAACTCCCTCTTGTTCCATTTCACCTTTCAACTTTTTGCCAACTTTCTCTTCCCATTAATATTGTCTGTGACTGCCCAGAAAAAGCTTGCTCCATCTAGAGTTTCTATTTTGCAGACAATGAAATAAGTATTAAATGCTGTAGAGCTGGTCTGGGAAATCCTCTCTCTCAGACACATCCGGCTGTTTCACTAATTACGTCCATTATAAGTGGAGTGCGCTGGCGTCACAACCACTTTGCCATCGTCACAATTCATTTTCATGGCTTTCAACAAACAAGATTAATAGCTCTAGAAGCAAGGCAATCATTAGGAGGTTGCAGTGTGCACACTCAGTAAGCACCTCCGGCGGGGGTTTAGCATGGAGAGGAATTACTATTGTCTGCTGCCCTTGCTGGATCTCATGTCTAGAGAGCTCTCTAGTTGATGCTACTTTACTTAAATAATTAACCACAAAACAATGCTGCAGTTCAGCTAAATGCTACATAATATTCTTCCTACCACTATCACTATATTAATGGGAAAGACACAGGAAAAAGAGTACAATGACACCTTTCTATGTACTACAATTACTAGAAGAACTCCTTATTTAGCCTGTTGGGTCCAGTCCTGTGTTTCCAAGCCAACTGTAGCTCTGTGTTTCTTGTTTAACACGATCATTAAACGGCTAACTCTTATGTACATGTAAAAAACAAATGAAATCAGTGGAACTTCTGGATGTTCAGGGATGTGGGATTGAGCTTTTAGTGTGCACGGACCTATATAAAGGAGGACATCTTCAGCTCTTCCATTTATTTATCTGTATCTATGGAGATACTGTTTACAACAAAAATAAAAATGTAATTTCAAAGTAACTGCTATTACAAACGAGACTGGCAGACGTTCGATATAAATGACAATGTGGATTAAAACAATGAGCTCAAGGGGAAACTTTTGAAAACAGATTTTGTTTGTATATATACAAATTATGCTTTCTACTAGAGATTGGCATGTCCAGTAATCGGAGCATAGACCTTTGGGCTAAGAATTCCCAATGCCTAATCCCAGCCTGGAGAGTGACTCCTTCGATGGACTTAATTTATGCTCTTAAAGAATGCTCTTAATTTATCTTTCTTAGTTACCCCATCTGTAAATGTTTGCTAGTTCTCATGCTAGATTTTCCAAGAAGTTACAAGCTGAATCATAACATCCCCTGGCCATGCTGGCAAAATCGGTATCTGAGCAGAGCAGCACTCTTCTAGGAGACCAGAATGACAGCCACTTTCTTTCGCGATGCAGAATTTGGCATAGATGGATCTGCATAGATGAATGTGCGTAAAATGCCTTGAATATAAAAATCATTATATAAATGCTATTGCTAGGAGTCTATACTGAATAGGAAGATGTTATACACAAGCCATTTTCATTGCAAGCTAAAAAGAGAGCTCTTTTAAAACAAAAATAATAATGATTTAATATCCTGAATCAGCACCTTCACATATGTGCAAGAATGGAAAATATAAAACTGAACACAGAGAAAAAACATAAAACCAACCAAACAAAAAACAAAACCCTTACCCTGAAGGGAACAGAAAAATGAATTTAAAAACTGGTCTTGGGGGAAAAAATGAGAATTTAAAAAGTATTAAACATACTGCAGGAAATACACAAGATGGAAAAAAAAGGGAAAAGGAAGGAAGGAAAAAAGAAATAAGAAGAAAAAACCAAGGGTGACAAGTAAGTAAAAGAAGGGAAGTTGCTTTGTTGCATAAATGGTGGAGCAGAAACCCTTTTTCTTTCTTCTCTCTTCCAACCCATCTCAGTGGCTAAACTCATCCTGTGCATATCTTCTTAACTCCTGCCAAAAATGGCTGTTTGGTTTCCCTACAACAGGGATCCTGGTTTTTTCACTTCGAGAGTCTGGTCACTCTAGTTTGGCTCCCCATAGTTCTAGTCAATCTGATGCACATTCTGTCTTAATCCCCTTTAGTCTGGGTGTTGGGGTATTTCTCAGTGTGGAGGGGGAGAACCACTAGGAAGAAGAGTCTTCCTGGACTTACCAGTCCCTGCTTACTAGTCCCAATTTACATCTAACAGATTGTTTAAAATGACAACTCTGAAGCTTCTATTGTTGTTTTCTCAAATAAAAATAGAACTAATCACTGAGGTTGGGCACAACGTGAATGGACTAAGGATTTTGACTTCCACCTGGTGATAATGTGTCTGTTCTAACAGTTTTTGATGCGTATGCTGTAAGATATGGACATGCTCATCATAAAACAGCATTATTCCAGCCAGACTGTTTTGCAAAGCCTTCACCCCATATGGGTCAGCCTGAGACTACAAACTAATGCTGCATAGGACATAGTTAGAAAAATACTTTTACTTCCATAATAAATTACTTATTATGCAACTACAGAATCCGTGTGGCTGCTGATTAAATCAAATAAACCTCCCCATTCAACTAGTATATAACATTTTTGAAGTCATAAAAATGTGTTTCCATGGCCTTTTCTATGTAGAACGGGGCCCCATGACTTTTTTATAAACAGACTAAATGTAGTTTAGGTTTTTCAACTTTGTGCAAGTCCCAGGAGTGTTCACTGTACAACACTTTTTAAAACTGCCAAACAGAGATAAAGTACAGGCCGAGAAACAGTCTTGCCTCTGTGGCAGCTACTATCATGGCTAGGGCCAGAATATCCATTAGCTACTTTTGGGGACTGCTTTAATAACATCTAGCTTTTACATGTTTCATCTGGTACAGTATAAACACTAATGCACTGAGATATCCTAAGTCCCATGGATGTATTTACTAACAGGCAGCCTTCGTCTCAATTTAAATTCATTCTTGCCCCAGAAAACCTTTTTGTATTGTACCTACAACTAAGGATACTACATCTGTAAATACACAGAATAGTCATTCAGTGACTTTTGGACACTAGAAAGGACAGGAATCTAACCCTTTAAAAATCTCATGGTTGTCATCATTGCAATTTTTACTAACCAGAGATGTTATAGCTAGATAGAGGTGGATCTCAAAAGGTTCTGTGGCTCAGAATGGAAAGAAAACCCTTCAAAGTTTGCCAAAGTATTACACTATT